AGTACAGCTTAATGGACTACCGTATTAAGCAATTTCATTACACATTCCCCCAATAAAAATCTTTTAAGTCCAGGAATCACCAGTCCAGAGTTAAAATCCCACAAATTAACATTAAAATACTGAGCATTTGTTCTAGCTCCAGAAGCTGGCATAGTGCTCTTCCTCCCAGGATGTCATTTGAATCTCACTCACTGACCCTCTTTTGCAACCGACCTTCTTCTGCCCTTCAGGCTCCCACCTCTCACTTCTGTACCTCACGTTCCTCCCGTAGGTATGCTCTCCCTAAACCCCTTTGGCCGTGCGGGGGGCGGGGGGTTGCAGTGGGGAGCAACGCAGGAGGGTGCAGGCTGCACCTTTGTAGGTCGGGTGCTACCAACCACAGGCTACTTCCCAAAGCTGCCTTTTAGAAGTCCCAGCACCTGAAATTTACAAACTAATGTATTTCTTACTTCAGGCAATATTGTAGTCTTCAGGGTGGATTCTCCCTCTGCAGAGATAAGGGCAATTCCAGCTGGTGGAGGCTACATTCCTATAGGAGAGTGATTTTTTTTTTTCCTTCCTCTCCACCCCTGGGGGTGAGCACCTTGCAATTTTTATTTAAATGCTTTCTTTTTTTTTCTGTAGAGGCAGAGTTTCACTTTATCACCCTCGGTAGACAGCCTTGAGCAATCTCCAACACCTCGGCATAGGCAATTCCCCTGCCTCAGCCTCCCAGGTAGCTGGGCCTACATATGCCCACCACAACACCTAGCTATTTTTTGTTGCAGTTTGGCAGGAGCCAGGTTTGAACCCACCACCCTCAGTATATGGGGTAGGCACCCTGGCCACGGAGCCACAGGTGCCGCCCAAAAATGCTTTCTTTTAAAAATGCTATTTTGTTTATTTACTTATTTTTTAGAGGTGGGAGATCTCAGTACATCGCCGAGGCTGGAGTGCAGTGGCTTCTTAGCAGGCACAATCATGGTGCTTTGCGGTCTCAAACTCCTGGACTTAAGCAAAGCTCCTGCTTCAGCTTTCCAAGTAGCTGCCACCCAGGCCTGGCCCAGACTGTCTTTTTTTTTGAGACAGAGCCTCAAGCTGTCCGCCTGGGTAGAGTACTGTGGCATCACAGCTCACAGCAACCTCCAACTCCTGGGCTCAAGCGATTCTCCTGCCTCAGGCTCCCAAGTAGCTGGGCAGGCGCCCGCCACAACGCCCAGCAACTTTTTTTTGGTTGCAGCTGTTATTGTTGTTTGGCAGGCCGGGGCTGGATTTGAACCCACCACCTTAGGTGCATGCGGCTGGCGCCTTAGCCACTTGAGCCATAGGTGCCGAGCCGCCCAGGCTATCATTTTATCAACTTTTTTTCTGGAGCCTGAGTCTCACTCTGTTGCCCAGGGTAGAGTACCACAGTGTCATCACAGCTCATAGCAACACCAAACTCTTGACTCAAGCAATCTTCTTGCCTCAGCTTTCTAAGTAGTGGGACTGACTACAGGTACCTACAACACACGGCCATTTTTTTCCTTTTTTCTTTTTTTTTTTTGGTTGTAGCTGTCGTTGTTGTTTGGCAGGCCCGGGCTGGATTTGAACCTGCCAGCTCTGGTGTATGTGGCTGGCACCTTAGCCACTTGAGCTACAGGCACAGAGCCTGGTCTCAAACTCTTGAGCTCAAGCAATCGACCTGCCTCAGCCTCTCAAAAATGCTAGGATTACAAGTGTGAGCCACCGCATCCAGCTTAATGACATTTTTCAAAAGAATTTTAATTCACAATTTGTATATTTTTGGCCTCTGTGTGCTGGCACTGGGAATGAAGGAGGCAAGACAGGGGCCTGCTTCTTCAAGGAACTCTCATCTAGTAAGAGAAAGGAAATAGGCTTGGCGCCTATAGCTCAACCGGCTAAGGCGCCAGCCACGTACACCTAAGGTGGCGGGTTCAAATCCCCAGCCCGGACCCACCAAA